AGTTTAAAGTAAATTCTAAGGGCGCAATTTGACTGATGAGATCACGCATTACAGCTGGTATTGAGCTTTGCGACAAAAAGCGTAGTATTGCAAGGCATAAGTCCTGCAAGTTAAATTGGGCTGCGAAGGGCCAAAGGTTGCTTTCGAAAATTACGAGAAAAGCTTTATTTGTACAATGTTAAAAGACCTGTTTTAACTTATTTCAGAAAATAAATAACTTAAGAGTTACGGCTCATTTTTTCAATTTCAAAATTGCTGGGGGTAAATTACAAAAACGTTTTCTTAGAATTTCAAACAATCTTTAGAAATTAACATCCCTCAAATATAACTGCATTGCATATTGCAAAGAAAATAATTGCACAGTGTTCAGAATTCGTGTTTCTCAATGCTTCACAATATTTGGCAATTATAGTCACGGCGAGCCGAAATAGGACTAAAATGTCATTCTTTATTATTATATAACTATATTAGATTATCTTATGGTAAAGTTTTTAAACTAAATTGAGTTACATGCAAGTCGATTATGTATCACAATTGCAATTTTGTCGAAATGTTGAATGATAACACCAACACAGAATGTTTTAAAAGTTTAAAGTAAATTCTAAGGGCGCAATTTGACTCATGAGATCACGCATTATCGCTCGTATTGAGCTTTGCATGCGACAAAAAGCGTAATATATTGCGAGGCATAAGTCCGGCAAGTTAAATTGTTAATTTGGGCTGGGAAGGGTCAAGGGTTGCTTTCGAAAATTACGAGAAAAGCTTTTTTGTACAATGTTGAATGACCGGTTTTAATTTATCTCAGAAAGTAAAATAACTTAAGAGTTGCGGCTCATTTTTTCAATTTCAAAATTGCTGGGGGTAAATTACAAAAACGTTTTCTTAGAATTTCAAACACTCTTTAGAAATTAACATCCCTCAAATATAACAGCATTGCATATTGCAAAGAAAATAATTGCACAGTGTTCAGAATTCGTGTTTCTCACTGCTTCACAATATTTGGCAATTAGTCACGGTGAGCCAAAATAGGACTAAAATGTCATTTTTTATTATTATAGCTATATTAGATTATCTGATGGTAAGGTTTTCTAAACTAAATTGAGTAACTGGATTTCGATTTTGTATCACAATTGCAATTTTGTCGAAATGTTGAAAGATAATGTCAATACCGAATGTTTTGAGAGTTTAAAGTAAATTCTAAGGGCGCAATTTGACTGATGAGATCACGCATTACAGCTGGTATTGAGCTTTGCGACAAAAAGCGTAGTATTGCAAGGCATAAGTCCTGCAAGTTAAATTGGGCTGCGAAGGGCCAAAGGTTGCTTTCGAAAATTACGAGAAAAGCTTTATTTGTACAATGTTAAAAGACCTGTTTTAACTTATTTCAGAAAATAAAATAACTTAAGAGTTACGGCTCATTTTTTCAATTTCAAAATTGCTGGGGGTAAATTACAAAAACGTTTTCTTAGAATTTCAAACAATCTTTAGAAATTAACATCCCTCAAATATAACTGCATTGCATATTGCAAAGAAAATAATTGCACAGTGTTCAGAATTCGTGTTTCTCAATGCTTCACAATATTTGGCAATTATAGTCACGGCGAGCCGAAATAGGACTAAAATGTCATTCTTTATTATTATATAACTATATTAGATTATCTTATGGTAAAGTTTTTTAAACTAAATTGAGTTACATGCAAGTCGATTATGTATCACAATTGCAATTTTGTCGAAATGTTGAATGATAACACCAACACAGAATGTTTTAAAAGTTTAAAGTAAATTCTAAGGGCGCAATTTGACTCATGAGATCACGCATTATCGCTCGTATTGAGCTTTGCATGCGACAAAAAGCGTAATATATTGCGAGGCATAAGTCCGGCAAGTTAAATTGTTAATTTGGGCTGGGAAGGGTCAAGGGTTGCTTTCGAAAATTACGAGAAAAGCTTTATTTGTCCAATGTTGAATGACCGGTTTTAATTTATCTCAGAAAGTAAAATAACTTAAGAGTTGCGGCTCATTTTTTCAATTTCAAAGTTGCTGGGGGTAAATTACAAAAACGTTTTCTTAGAATTTCAAACACTCTTTAGAAATTAACATCCCTCAAATATAACAGCATTGCATATTGCAAAGAAAATAATTGCACAGTGTTCAGAATTCGTGTTTCTCACTGCTTCACAATATTTGGCAATTAGTCACGGTGAGCCAAAATAGGACTAAAATGTCATTTTTTATTATTATAGCTATATTAGATTATCTGATGGTAAGGTTTTCTAAACTAAATTGAGTAACTGGATTTCGATTATGTATCACAATTGCAATTTTGTCGAAATGTTGAAAGATAATGTCAATACCGAATGTTTTGAGAGTTTAAAGTAAATTCTAAGGGCGCAATTTGACTGATGAGATCACGCATTACAGCTGGTATTGAGCTTTGCGACAAAAAGCGTAGTATTGCAAGGCATAAGTCCTGCAAGTTAAATTGGGCTGCGAAGGGCCAAAGGTTGCTTTCGAAAATTACGAGAAAAGCTTTATTTGTACAATGTTAAAAGACCTGTTTTAACTTATTTCAGAAAGTAAAATAACTTAAGAGCTACGGCTCATTTTTTCAATTTCAAAATTGCTGGGGGTAAATTACAAAAACGTTTTCTTAGAATTTCAAACACTCTTTAGAAATTAACATCCCTCAAATATAACAGCATTGCATATTGCAAAGAAAATAATTGCACAGTGTTCAGAATTCGTGTTTCTCAATGCTTCACAATATTTGGCAATTATAGTCACGGCGAGCCGAAATAGGACTAAAATGTCATTCTTTATTATTATAACTATATTAGGTTATCTTATGGTAAAGTTTTTTAAACTAAATTGAGTTACATGCAAGTCGATTATGTATCACAATTGCAATTTTGTCGAAATGTTGAATGATAACACCAACACAGAATGTTTTAAAAGTTTAAAGTAAATTCTAAGGGCGCAATTTGACTCATGAGATCACGCATTATCGCTCGTATTGAGCTTTGCATGCGACAAAAAGCGTAATATATATTGCGAGGCATAAGTCCGGCAAGTTGAATTGTTAATTTGGGCTGGGAAGGGTCAAGGGTTGCTTTCGAAAATTACGAGAAAAGCTTTATTTGTACAATGTTGAATGACCGGTTTTAATAGACACTTCCCGAATTTAAATTTCGCGCGAAACACAAAACACGAAAACGAGGCGGGCAATGACAATTCAGAATCAAAGATGGCGGCTTTGCCTGAGGGCGAGCCAGTTGCTAGTAGCATTGCGTTGAAAGAAAATGATCAAAATGCAGAAAATGTTAAGGAAATGCCCGTTGAGCTATTTTGGGGTAAATCTTTGAAAGATTTCCCACATCTTACAATAAAGGAAATTGAAAAACATAGGTTAAAGAGTGGAAAACAAAAAGGCGCTGCGATATCAAAAACACTCGCGAGAGGTAGAAAATTGAAAGAGGAACGATACTTGTCGTCAGACTCTGTTTTTACTGCAAAAACAGAAACAGCGTTTGCCGTAAAATGTAAATGCAGAGCTAGCATGAAAAAGGTAACGCGTTCTGTTATTGTTTATATCAATTCTACTACTGGAAATGTTGACAAAGCCCATTGTAATTGTCCTGCTGGAAACAGCGGTTACTGTAACCATGTATGGCACTTCTGCTACAACTAGCAGAGTATTCTTTGAACGGATTGCAGTTTGTACCTGAAGAGAAAGCATGTACAAGTGCACTAAGGAAATGGGGTGTACCTGGACAAAACACTTCACATGTTAAAGAACCTGTGATGAATACAAGTATTCAAAAGTCGGTAACTTCAAAAGGGATCAAATGTACCGCTTATGACCCAAGATTGAATTACAGTAAGGACGATTTTGAGAAAAGAACCAAAGTACTACAAATGTCTTTAGTGACAGTAAACCAAAAAATTGCTTTTGCTCAATGTCTACAGCAAAGTGAAACACTCACCTACACAAGAACAAGATATGGTGAATTTGCTGTTGGTTCACCACTTTCATACCAACTACAAGCTGTCATGTTTAATTTTGGAATATTGTCCAACATTAAGGAAAGTAGCAGAAGTATTTCCACTACTTCTGATGGCAAGATGCCAGGTTTACCACTGGTTTGCATCAGTGAAAATGATAAATTAATTCCAAAAGACTGGAATATAAGTCAAAATGAATCATCATACTTGGAATCAATTCAAGTTTCTATGGAAGAAGCATTAAAACTTGAGAGAGAAACAACAAATCAAAGTAAAAATCCCAAATGGATGGAGCTAACGCAAACCGAGAATCACTTCTACAAATGCCCATTCAGTTTTTATTCGAAAACGCAACCATAAAACATTGGTTAAATCTATTTTATATCCTAAGGATCTACCAGAGCTCCCACCGAGTGTTCAAGAGAATTTCAAGCATGGTTCTATGAATGAACCTGTCGCTAGAGAAAAATATTCAGATGTACTATGCCATAAATTTCACAGGAAGATTACTGTGCGTGAAACCGGTATAGTAATCCAGCCAAATTTGTTTTGGCTTGCAGCAAGCCCAGATGGATTGGTCAATGACAATGAACATGATCCTCAAATTGGTTTAATAGAAATTAAGTGCCCTAAGTCAAAGCGAGATTGTACACCAGATGACATGGTTTCTGATGCAAAATTCTATGTTGGTATTGATGATGGTAAACCATATTTTCATTCTAATGGATATTATTCTCAAATTCAAATGGCAATGGGGTTATCACAAGCAAAGTTTTGTGATTTTGTTGTCTATACGTTTAAAGGTATGATTATAATACGAACCAAATTTGATGAGGAATACTTTGAAAACTTAATTAAGAAGTTAAACACATTTTACAAAAACTACATGCTTCCAGAATTAATACAATAATAAAATGTATTTTATTAAATTTCTTGAAAACATCTATTGATGTATGTACTTTATCATAATACTATTCTGGTAGCAAAACGGCCAAAACCTATTTTTCAGGGTTAGGTTGTGCTGTGTTACTTTCTTTTTGTATTAATGGTGGTAACAGATTGCACAACAAACATGCAACTGTCCATATCTGGTTGATAGAGCCATGTAGTACAAGTGGTATTTCATTTCGAATTTGCTTGAACTTCTTCACCCTTTGTATGGCACGTTCCACATGTATTCTAACAGAGGCAATGGACTGACTTTCTTTAACTTCTCCTTTTGTTAGCTGCTCTCGGCCATCCAAAAATGCTGGTATATTCAATTGTACACCTATCTTGCTTAGCTCCTCTTCAATTGTAAATCCTCTGTCAGCCATAATTGCATCATCTTTATCCCACAACTCCTTATTAAGCAAGCCACTGCTGTTTACTATTTCTTTATCAGAAACAGATCCACTATATAATTGGCTGATGAAAGTAATGGCTCCTGATGGGGCTATTCCAAGCAGACCTTTATAAGTAACATGATGTTTATAATATGAGAATAGACTGCTTTGAATGCTCAAAGAAGATGGTGATTGGCAAAACAATTCAGTGCAATCGATAATGCACCTTGTTGTTGGGTAAGTTGTTTTAAAACATTCTGGCATTGTTTCTTGCACTTGCTGTTTAGTTGGCCATATTGGTAGACTACCCAATGAAAAATAGAGGAAATTTATCCAAGTAATAAGATATCTTGAAACTGTAGACTTTGGGGTATCAAATAACCATGCTATATGGGATAGGCTAAATCCACACTTCAACCAAACAAGCACTAAAAAGAGTTGATTGACAGGAATTAGGTTTGGCCGTGGACCACGCTTTTGTGGTGTCTCCTTGTTTGGTGTAGCAGTAGATGGGGTTGTGTTGCTTTTTTCTCTGTTTGATGCATCATAAAACTTTATATTTTCTCCATTATTTCCAGGATTCAAAAAAGTAAGTAAGTGGTCAAACACTTCCAGTTCAAGTCCAGTAGCTGACTTAAAATGATGCTTATCTTTAGATATATTTTCATACTTGTAGATATGTTTTTCTTGAAAGGTTTTTAGATCTTCTTTGTTTTTTGAGTTCTCCAATCTCAAGTCATTATTTTCCATGAGTAAAGATTTATTTTCCTTCTCCAGGGATTCTACTTTTTCTAACAGAAATTGACATTGTTCACATGTGCTTTGATTTTCTTCTTCATAGCTTATTTCTAGTACATTGTGCTGATCCATTGATTGTAATACCTCTGTTCCGAGGGGTGGTTCTAAATATGTTTAGATAAAACAGTCAGGGTGGATCCTACATGCTACATTATAGTGACCAACTGAAAACAATATATATACATGGTGCTCCATGCTTTGTTATTTTACTCTGTGTATTGCTGTGGCTATATGTATAATACTTAGGAACTAATATGACTTTTCGCCTATATTGGAGAGATGACAATTTTCAATTGAGAAACATTTCTCCACACGCTGCCATAGATCTTGCAGTGGGCAAAATTTGATTAAATCTGTCTAAATTCTATTTTAGTGTACTTCTGCAATACTTGCAATGTCATAAATTATATATTCTAGATCTACATAAATATTAACCTGTGTTTTCTTTGTCATCAGATGTTTCCACAAATAGTCGTTTAGCAGGCGGGGTTCGACCATTTTTGTGTTGACATGCCTCAGTTATTTTAAAAACAGAAGGAACTGACCCATGGACAAGTGTCTTTCGACCAATACCTTTAGACACACAAATTTCGTCGAATTTAAAGTGAAACTCACACACGACTGTCGCATTTGTAACTTTAAAATTATCTGCGCCTCCTCTTCTACGGTATCTAGAAACAAACAACATCCATTTTCTCCGCAATGATTTATCTGATGGTATTTTAAACAGACCAATGTTTGTTTTGTTTTTGTATTTGTCGTAGAATGCACTCCCACAACCTGGAATACAGCAAGACGTTCCTCTCCCACCATGTAGTTGTTTCTTTGGCCGGGCTTTTGAAGAAGATGGATAAGTATCTTTCAGTAAATTGACTTCCTTTTCTGCCTTGTAGATCTCATTCAAATTGAACAAATCGGACGAAACCTCGGAGCTTTGAGGCAAAGCCGCCATCTTTGATTCTGAATTGTCATTGCCCGCCTGGTTTTCGTGTTTTGTGTTTCGCGCGAAATTTAAATTCGGGAAGTGTCTATTTATCTCAGAAAGTAAAATAACTTAAGAGTTGCGGCTCATTTTTTCAATTTCAAAATTGCTGGGGGTAAATTACAAAAACGTTTTCTTAGAATTTCAAACACTCTTTAGAAATTAACATCCCTCAAATATAACAGCATTGCATATTGCAAAGAAAATAATTGCACAGTGTTCAGAATTCGTGTTTCTCACTGCTTCACAATATTTGGCAATTAGTCACGGTGAGCCAAAATAGGACTAAAATGTCATTTTTTATTATTATAGCTATATTAGATTATCTGATGGTAAGGTTTTCTAAACTAAATTGAGTAACTGGATTTCGATTATGTATCACAATTGCAATTTTGTCGAAATGTTGAATAATAATATTAATACAGAATGTTTTGAAAGTTTAAAGTAAATTCTAAGGGCGCAATTTGACTCATGAGATCACGCATTACAGCTGCATGGTATTGAAGTTTGGGCAAAAAGCGTAGAATTACAAGGCATAAGTCCTGCAAGTTAAATTGGCCTGGGAAGGGTCAAGGATTACTTGCGAAAATTACAAAAAACATTTGTTTGTACAATGTTGGAAAAACGGTTTTAACTAATCTCAGAAGCTAAAATAACTAACGAAATACGGCTCATTTTGTCAATTTTAAATATATTTTAGGTAAACTACAAAAACGTTTTCTTAGGATTTCAAACACTCCTTAGAAATTAATATCCCTCCAGTATAACTGCATTTCAAGTTGCAAAGAAAATTGCACAGTGTAGCAATTCATGTTTCTCACTGTTTCACAATATTTGGCAATTCGTCATGCATGGTTACCCAAAGTAGAACTAAAATGTTATTCTTTGTTAATATTCATGTTTTGTAAACTTACTTTCTGATTGGTCGATTTGTACCACGTGAGTGAATGTTATATTGCAACAACGTCACGGCAGTGCCGTTATTGGAGTATCAAAATAACGGCAACGAACAAAAAAATTGCTGAACTTAGCGAAGAGAACGAAGAGGAAATTAATGTAATTATAGATGAATCCACACCGAAAAATACTAAACGGGCAACCGCTTTGGGTGTTTTAGTATTTAAAGATAAGCATGTGTTGTTTAGTTAAGTTTAAAAATGATACAAAGTCTTTACGAGTTTACTCAAAATGAATATTAAAAGCATTAAAGCACTCTTTGTATGTGTATTATCGGGTTTTACAAACAAGGTTCACAAACAAGGAACTCGAAGTTCAATACTGCATTCGGCTTCGCCTCGTGCAGTATTGAATCTCTCGTTCCTTGTTCGTGAACTCGTGCATGTAAAACCCGATAATGCACTCACAGAGTGCTTTAATCCTTAATTATTATAGCTATATTAGATTATGTGATGTTAAGGTTTTCTGAACGAAATTGTGTAACTGGAAGTCGATTATATATTATGACAATTGCAATTTTGTCGAAATGTTGAATGATAATATTAATACAGAAAGTTTTGAGAGTTTAAAGTAAATTTCTATGAAACAACTTACGAGCTACGGCTCATTTTGTCAATTTTAAAATTGTTGTGGGTAAATGCAAAAACGTTTTTTTAAGATTTCAAACACTCTTTACAAATTAACATCCCTGAATTATGACTGCATTGCAAGTTGCAAAGAAAATTGCTCAGTGTAACAGCGTCTTTAATACAACTTGCCTGACTGATTTTTTTAGTGCTATAAAATTATATTGCTTTAAAGCATGTAAACATGAATTTATGAATCGTATTGTTATTCCTAATATCTCTGTTCAGTTCATTCGTATCCATTCAATTGCAATGTCTTGGTATGGTCATATCTCGATCACAGTCACATTTTATGGCTGCTATTCCATAACCAAGTTAAAAGTTTGTAGATTTTTTGCAGTATCCCCAAAAAAGTAAATTAATAATCTCGTATTTATACGAACAAATTATATAAAATTATACAATTCAAATACTTATGTTTAGCCTAAAATTAGAAACAAATTAATTTCAGTTTCAAAGATTTTAATTTGTCAAGGACAATGAGCCTCCACAACTGATACTATTGTTGTTAATGCGTTCGATAGATGCAGGGGTGGATCCAAAACTTAGGCCTTTCCCGATTGTGCTCGGCAACTTTAAGCAACTTTTTACAATTTAAATCACTGTTCTGTTTTCCAGCTACCTGGGCAACTTTTGCTTTTTTAGGTAAAAGGAAGCAACTTTTAGGCTTATACATGATCCATACTGCGAATTGCGCTCTAATTATGAAGTAAAATCTCAACTATATAATTTATTAAACTAATTATTTATTCACGGCACAATCGGGAAAGGCCTACTAGCACTACGTACTGCACCAATTTGATCTGATCCACCCCTGGACAGATGAGAATCGGAATGTTTGAAATAAGTCTAAAGTCGAAAAATGCGCTGAGAAAAAAATCGAACACGCGTGGACTGAGACGCGTAGAGTCTGCTATTGAAGTAATGGAAGACACTAAACTGTACTAACTTTATAGCATGCTCTCTCAAAAATGTTCTGGAAACGATTTTTTAAGGATTTGTTGAAAATATTTTTGAAAATTTCTTATCGATATATAAGTTGAAAAAAGATCCTTCAATGGAAATGATAAGAAAAGTCCACTCTTCAACTTAGTTTCCGCACATGCACTTTAGGATCACGTTTGACGACCAACATTATTGATGAATTCAGTGAAGAAATGGATCTGTTCTGTGAACTACGATGCGCAGAAAATCGTTTTTGTGTTGCGTTTAATTACAAGACAAAAGTCGATGAAAAGGAGCTCAACTGTCAGCTAACCAACACAAAACAGCATAAATTTGATGTGCGCCACTTTACCAAGGAAGAACAGGTGTGGACGTTTCATGAGGCTAAAGTCGATAGGAGTGACTTTGTAAGAACCATTTTAACTTAACTATCGCTTCCATTGAATGGGAGAAATTATAAAAGATAGAGATATTCATTTTTCATGCTACTTTTTACCATAGTAATAACTTTATATTCATTATGTTTGAGGCCTACTGCCGGGGAGAAGTGAATGAATGTCAAAATGGTGGAACCATGATCTGGCATCCAGAAAAACTTTTTTCATGTCAATGTCTAGAATGTTACGAAGGAGAATTTTGCGAAAACGGTAACACTACTCTGCGCTGAAGACTATCTGTAGTTATTTTATACCTAATACCACATTTAATGCTCTATTTAATACCACGAAAATTCTTTTCATTTGATGTTTCTTAAAATTTTTCAATAAAGGCCATGTTACACAGTGCAATAATCTTGCAATGCAATTCTACTTTTGAATGATGTAAATTAGTGAAGAGTCCTAAAAATGTAGGTTAACAAACGCTATGGACTATAAGAAAAACAAAAATTCTCTAGTTGCCAAATTCATATCTCTGAAAAGAAGAATTGCATTGCAAGTTTGCAATAAAAATTGCACCGTGTAACAAGGCATTAAGAAAAGGGCATGCACACGTAATGATGTATTTATTCGATTTTCACATAAGTCTGAATTATAAAGTACCACATGAAATTTAAACGTAACAGCCATGCAAATATGATAAAGATTGTAAACTTTTCATTTAAGTAAATCACTTAAAACGCCATATTTTTATTTATAATATTTTTAAAAACTACTAAAAGTTAATTTTCTTAAGGTTTAGTGCGTAAGGCTCTTGGAATGGAGAGCGGTGATATTAATGATGAACAAATCACAGCATCAAGCGAAGCTAATGGCAAGCATAGGGCTGCAAATGGAAGATTAAATTTCAGACCACGGGATGGAAGAACAGGGTCGTGGTCATCAGGGAGTCATGATCCTAATCAGTGGCTTCAGGTTGATTTCCTAAGATCTACTCTGGTTACTGGGATCAGCACCCAAGGACGGGCCGGGAAAAAACAATTTGTAAAGAATTACACAATCTCTTTCAGCAAAGATGGAGTAGATTTCCAGAGTTTTCCGCAGGTAGGCATTTTCTTACTATCTTGTTGCAACTATATCGTTTTTTTCTTAACCTATACGTAACCTACGTCCCCTAAGAGAAAGGCAGAACACGAGGGATGTACAACTTATAGCTATGTTATTTAACTGTCGTGGATTCAGAATACAAAACTACTACCTCAAGAGGTAATGATACAAAACTACAATCGAGACAAGAGTGATCTAAAAGCAGATGCAAAATGAACCAATTTCATTGGCTGAGGTACCCTCGGTCAAGCCGGTGACCAAGTTTGCCCTTCAACACTTCAGTATATTTTATAAAATGTCGATAATAATTATTATACTTAATTTGCTGAACAAATTATGAATAGCAGAAAATCAACCTATATCTGATTCATCATGGGCTATAGCGCAGATCTGAGGATCTAGCCCCATGCACTATATCAATATTTTTGCAATTTCTAACATTATATATTTACCCAAAATTTGCAACTGAGCTTGCAAGAGAAGAAAGTGTGCCTTTCCGGGTGGGCAGTGACAGGGCAAAAGTTTGAACGTTTTACTGATAGGTGTACAGGTTCTTAATCCCTATTGCAAAATAAATTTTTCGAAATTTTAGCGTTCATTTTTGAATTAAGAACAACTTGCTATTCTTCTTTTGCCGAATATATCAGTCAGAGATACTAACGCTCATTCCTTTTTCAAATACAAATAAGCGATTAAGTACAAAAAGGCTAATTTGTCTAATACTATTAGCTGTAGCAATATTCTTTATAATTTAGAAAAGCCATTTTCTACCCCTCAACGTAAAGTATTTGCATCAAAGACGCACAATTTTGAAATTTTAAATTTAGTTTCTGAAGTAATTTACGAGATTATTACAAAATTAATTTGCCTTGTTTTTTAACTTCCTTAGTATTATTGACATGATAAAATTACTGATTGTAGTGTCTTCATCCGTCAGATGACCCCTGATCAAGACAGGATAATTATAATATTATACACTATAATGCATGCTCCCAAGGGAAATAGTGTACAAAACAAAACTCACTATTTCTCGAGGTAGTGTACATTTGGTAGGTAGGTAGTGTACATAGTGGTCTTTTCTTATATATAGGAACAAAAACATACATGTTACACAACAATTTCATTTAAAAAAACCCACTTTACTTTGTTATGAAAAGAAGCGGGCAACAATTTTTCACTTGTTTCCCTGGCGGGAAACATTGCATTTATTTAAGGTCATGTGACTATGAATGAACCAATTATATTTAAAATACGAAGCACCTATATAACAAACGAAATTGATTACCTAAACTTATTACGACTTGCAAGAGCCTAATTTCTTGTTCGTATTATTTTCAAGGAATTCCAAGGAAACACAGACATGAATACCATTGTCCATAACACGGTGATTCCTCATATTTCTGCTCGGTTTATTCGCATTCACCCTACAGCCTGGTATGGACATATCTCGATGAGAGCCGAATTTTATGGTTGTTCTTTGGTGTAATATTGTATTGGTTTTGTTATCAGCTTGGAACTTTTGGCATTGTGTGCGTTTTTGAAGAGATTTGGGAACACCCAGAAATTAAAGTAAATCAAACCTAATTAGACATACTGTAATTACTTACTGTAATTTTCCGTTGAACCAAAGTTCAGTGGGGTACCTTGACCACTTCTTTTATCATCAAACATCACCTAAACACTTCAGAGTTTGAGATTAAAAACTTTTACAAAAAACAGGTATAAATGCACGGTAAATCCTTCACTATCCAATTCCTTATTGTTTCCGGGGTTCAGGTTATCAGAATTGCTACACTCAATTGCTACTGCCTCATTGCTACTGCCTCATTGACTAATGACTACTTATTGAGAGTCTCATAAATATGTTGGTAAAAGGCAATAAAATTAATTGCACTATCTATGCTATTTCTGGCATGTTTCTCTAGGAGACCAATTCTCTATTTTTAGAATTTATAAATGTGCAGGTAATAACTTATGATTCTAAGAATTCATTTCTAAATTTGCCTCCTGTATTATAATAGCTGTGACAACTAGAAAAACATCATCTGTTGAAACATTTACAGCACAATTTTTTCGCAAATATGTATAATAATTATACATACCGGTATGGAGGCCCCAGCCACGACACCTAATTTCAATGGCACTAATTACTCCCCCCCCGCCACATGCTCACCACATGAAATGAAATATTTGCGCGGCTATTTTGTCCCAGGCAGATGTCTTTATTAATCAAAGATGTAAATCGTGATCTGAAAACTAAGATATAATCAAATGTAGCTACTATATGCATGCTTGTTGAAACATCGACATAGCCAACATCAACCGTTTTAGAAACATGAAGGCCTTCTTTAGTGTTCAATATTGTTACAATTGACTGGCCTTTTTACCGTTCAAGAATATCACGTTTTGCGGGGGGGGGGGGGTAAGTTACTTTGATGTACAGTTATTGCTTCACACATATGCTATGCTTGAACATGCTCTAAGGCATATTCTTTATGGTGAATTAACAAGTAAATCGTGTCAGATTTAAGTCAGTTAATAAATTCCAAAAGCGCATTTTTGTCTTTGTCTTCGTTAAAAATCTCTCTCCGGAATAGGTTCAAGTTAAATGTTATAAACAACGAGACGTTTTAAGAAAAGACTGAAACAATTTACTATAATGGAGAAAACATCACAGGGGAAAACCTTATCTCGCAGTTTACTAACATCAATACGTTGCTAACCTGTTCCACAAGTTGAGAGGAGAAGTAACTTCGTGCTCTACTTTTGACGTTGTGAATAGATTAATTCACGCGGAGAGTGATCGATTTTTCTCCTTTTATAGCTGTTATTTTATATCATCCATTCAGGTAAGCTATTTTTATACCAATTTTGTATTTTGTCTTGTAAACTGATTACCAAAACATCCCCAAAACCTATGCTAAAAACAGCAAATATAATATTTTCGACGTTTGGCACATTATAGTGCAATGTTTATGTACCCTAACTTTATCATTTTTTATTGACTTGTGTGAGGAAGGAATGAAATTCCTGGCAGTGTCATCTTTCGAGTTTGGTCTATGGTGTTTTCATGGTAGCAAATATCAATATTAATAAATAAAGCATTCTTCGTGATTCGTAAAATCTGAAAAGCACCTTCGTGATTTCGTGACAAGACCCCCTTGTCCACCCTCTTTGTACGAAATCCTCGTCGATTTTTTGCTTCTCTGTTAAACTCCTGAACATAGCGAAATCGATTCAAATTGACCTTGATAATAAACTACCGCCCCGCATTCCGCGCTCAGTGAAATCTAAAACAGGGGAAAGGTCTATTGGGCTATATATTTATTTTAGTATTTAATTTCTTAGCCATATTTTTTTCACTTGTTACTTAATTATTAAATATTGAATTATTCTTGGTTATTCCTAATAATTAATCTTGTTATTTTACCAGAAATACAAACGAAAAAATTATTGATATGTTATAATTATATGTGTTTAGAACCCTCCAACTTAACGAGAAACTTTATCGGTGAATTTGCTCAAGAAATGAGTGTATTTTGTGAACTTCAGTGCGCTGTGCATCGTTTTCTTTTGTTGCGTATAATTATCAGAAAGAATTCGATGAAACGGAGTTAAACTGTCAGCTTACTAACACAACTGAGCACAATTTTGATTTTTGACGAACACAACGAATGCACGTTTTACAAGATCATCGTGGACAGAAGTAACTTTGTAAGATTGTTTTATAAAAAGGCACGGTAATTAATACTATCTACAGGGTGTATAAAAAAAACGCAACCACTTAATATTCATGAATATCCTCTTTGTTCTACAACACAAAAGACGTTTGGCCCCTGGATTGCGAGAAAGCTTGTAATCATATTCTAGCGGCACAATCGTCGGTAAACAAAGTCGGGTGCGTAAACCAACGAGCTGAATTGAAAGTATTTAACGAGTAAAATTTTATTTACAATTTATTTTACAAGGTCGATAGTTAGCATTCAAGTTTCATGCACGACAATAAAAACTCGTTGTTCGGTTGTTAGCTGCACCATTATTAGTTTAGCTGATTTGACTATTAGCAGTTGAACTGTACGATTAGAAGCCATTTTAAAATCCCAGGGGCATAAAATCTTTTGAGCTTATGAACAATATGAATTTTAGAATATTAAGTGGTTGCGTTTTTTTTGAGACACCCTGTAAATCACCCAATGCATGGTGATCTCAGCTAGTTGCTCATGCTTAACAGGAATGTTTGATTATCGACTTATCCTCTTTAATGCAAATCAGTTATAGAAATTCTGCTGTATAATAATTATTATTTAATTCTGCCGTCGCTATACGCTTAATAAGCTTATCTAAAGGCCGGCGCACACTAGAGCTATGTGCTTAGCAAAAAGTCACTCGTGGCAATTGGCGTAAGCGAGTTGTTCTCGTGTGCGGGCGACTTTTCAGTGACTTTTCATTCGTGCCACTTACGGCAAATATCTAGCATGTTTGATAATTTCTGCCTCGCGTGCCGAAATCTTTCCGTGTGCGGCAAACTGAAAGCTATCTGCTTATGGATTGTCTTAACAGGGCATGCGTAATATATACGAAAGTGAACATCGAAGATAGCGGTGCAAACAAAGCAAGACGAGTTGGTGGCTGAGGCCACATTGAAAGACAAACTGGTTGATCTTTGGCCAGAATACAGGTGTTTATACGATGTAAATTCTACAGATTTTAGAAACAGAGAGAAAAGCTTTCTCAAACAGGTAATATAATTAATAACGGTGTTTAAAGCGGAAGTCTAGTCTAGGCTGACGCAACAGCAACAAAAATAACAAAACCTCTTCGTCTTCACTTCCATCCATAATTTTGTTTTTGCATTCTGTCCGCCATCTTGGATGTATACTTTCGTATATTATGCATGCTCTGTTAAGACAATCCATAAGCAGGAAAGATTTTGGCACGCGAGGCAGAAATTATCAAACATGCTAGATATTTGCCGTAAGTGGCACGAATGACCAAAGTCGCCTGAAAAGTCACCCGCACACGAGAACAACTGGCTTACGCCAATTGCCACGAATGACTTTTTGCTAAGCACATAGCTCTAGCGTGCGCCGGCCTTAAGGTCAACTCACAAGCAGTCATTATGCATATTTACATGTATGTAATGTGCATGCATGCTCGCATATTGAATAAAAACAAAAATTAACTATGTCATGTTCACGCTCTTTTCAGACTGAATTGATTGCACGCGCTTGGCGCGCGAGGAGCGAATCTATTCGCTCCGTAAAATTATCAAATTTTCTACCTTATTTCTGCGACTTTGTTGGTCAAATTTATAAAAGAATTGTGGATAGGGTATTCACCTTCAGGAAAGTGAACTTGGTTTGTTACAATTTTAAATATTTGCTCTGTATTTTGTTGAATTTATTTCTCAAATTGAAAGAAATTTCACAGTTGGTTTACAAGTACGCGCAACTGGACGGTTGAATTTTGGCGTGTGCATACGACTACGTTACACGTTTGGGTGCGTGATTCTATTATCTCGCAAATGTTCTCACGTTGTACTACTTATTCTTCTTGCTGGTGACATAGCAACCAACCCAGGTCCTACAGCTGATTCCCGTGTAACGACCAACTCAAAAATACCCGGGTTAAAAGTACTGTATTTAAATACCAGAAGCCTAAAAGCATTTGTTTATCCAACTGGAGACAAATCAGTAAAAATGTGTAAAATCTCGTTACTGCAACAATTGACATATAGCGGTAATTACGACGTTGTATGTGTATGTGAGACCTGGTTAAACAATTTAATCCTAAGCAATGAGATCTTACCAAATTATGGATCTATCTTCCGATATGACAGAGCTGGCAGAATTGGTGGTGGTGTTCTTGTTGCTGTAAAGACTGGTATACAAGTGAATCGCAGACATGATCTAGAACCTGATAATACGGAACTTATCGTGACTGAATTAATGAAATCTAACAACAAACCAGTCATACTTTACACCTTTTATCGCCCTCCTGACTCTAAACCCGATGTCCTTCAACAGTTAAATGACTCTATTCAAAAAAACCCTGAATCAAGTCGTATTGTGTTAGTAGGCGATTTTAATCTACCATCAGTTAAATGGTCGTCTGATCAAAATACACCCATCAACACCGGAGGACCTGCTGAAAATGAAACCTTTTGCGAATTAGTAGACGACAACTTCCTTGAACAATACATACTTGGCCCTACCCATATTGCTGGTAATAAACTGGATTTATTGTTGTGTAACTCTCCTGAAATCATCGGCGAGGTCTCCGTTTTCCATCCTGAGACTTGCGGTTACCCAACAAACACACATCGTGGAATTTGAAGTTAAGCTGAAGTTTAAAAGAGCTAAGCCAATAAAGCGCCGAATATTCGACTACGGAAAAGGAAATTTCGATGAGCTATGTAACTTTCTGACACGTTTTCCTATCAATGTTACCCCAACTGACAATATTGATGATGACTGGGAACAATGG